CAGGGGGACGTAAGACCTGGGTACAGAATTTCGGTTCTGCGTCTCCTGACCCAACGGACTGCCTGTGAGATGTGGTGCGTCGGCTCTGTGGTAACCTTCAAGCCCGATGCGTTTCGGCCCTGCGTCTCCTGACCCAGCGAACTGCCTGTAAGATGTGGTGCGCAGGCTACATGGTAACCAACATGTCCGAAGGCCACAACTCCAATCCCCAAGACGAATATGTTTCCTTTTGGGCCCAGAACGACAGTTTGAAGTCTTGATCAAGGGCACGTAAGGCCTGGGTACAGGGGACTCGGAAATCCCCGACGAGGTCGTCAAAAAAATGGCGAGGCCGAGCCTGCATTTTGACGAGGCCTCCCGCTGCAGACATCCCACGAAACTCCTCCTCGTCAAAATCCGAGGCGCGGTCGTCAAAAAACGATGGCGAACCCGAGTCCTGGCAAACCCGGGTCTTACGCTCCCCCGATCGTTGAGTTTCGCATGGGCCAAATATTGAGGGCCCCACACTGGGATACACGAGGGGGGGGGGCGCCCCTCCTCGATGGAGGTGCGTCCGAACAGGCACCTGGGGGTGTATCCCTGGGCTCCCCTCCTTCCCTTAGCTGCTCCTTTTCTTCGTCGACGAGCCAGATGTTGGGATAGAAACATCGCCAGCGACGGATGGGCCCCGCCCCGCGGGGGCGGCAGCGTGGCCAAAGGGCGCGGCCCGAGGGCCCTCCTCGAAGAGACGAGCGCACTCCACGACCCGAAGAGCAGCTGCTCTCAAGGTGGCCTGGATCCACCGCGGGGGCCCTACGATCCACGGCATAGAGGAAAACACGCTTGTTTTCTTTAGGACGGTTGCGAGCAGGCACTTTGCGAGTAGCGGAACGCGCTCGGTGATCAAACGGAGGGCGGGGAAGGATGGGTGGGCGGATCAAGGGGGCGAAGGGGGGCGAGCAAGGGGAGCAAAGGAGAAGAAGGAGGCCTCTGCAGAGCGCGACGGGGCTTCTCGGAAGCCTGCGCGCCGTCAGGCAAGTTCCCTGTGTCTTCGAGGAAGGCCCAGAGAGTTTCCCCAAACAGGCCGACGGACTTCCGAGCCTTCTGCAAAGGGCCGTCCTCCTCCTCCTCCTCCTCCTCCTCCTCCTCCGCCTCCTCCGCCTCCTCCGCCTCCTCCCCCTCCTCCTCCCCGCCCCCTCCGCCCTCCTCCCCCCTCCTACCTCCTCCTCCTCCGCCCCCCCCTCCTCCTCCTCCTCCTCCTCCCTCCTCCTCCTCCTCCTCATCCTCCTCCTCCTCCTCCTCCTACCTCCTCCTCCTCCTCCTCCTCCTCCTCCCCTCCTCCTCCTCCTCCTCCTCCTCCACCTCCTCCTCCTACTCCACCTCCGCCTCCTCCTCCGCCTCCTCTCCTCCTCCGTCCTCCCCCGCCCCCACCCCCTCCTCCTCCGCTCCCCCCTCCTCCACCTCCCCCACCCCCCACCCCTCCAGTGAAAAGTTCCTGCCGAATCGGGGTGGCATCGGCCACTAACCGCATGCGTCCGCCGACAACACTAGCGATAAGGCCCCCATTGGCGAGCCGCTCGTTCTCCGCGGGGCCCTCTTATCGGGCCCTTCTCTGATGGCCCTTTTCCACCACCACCAGAATTTGGAGGGGAGGGTCCTCCTCCTCCTCCATCTCCTCCTCTCCTCCTCCTCCTCCACTCCTCCTCCTTTTCCTCCTCCTCCCCTCCCGCCTCCTCCGTTTCCCCTCCCCCTCCTCCTCCTCCTCCTATCCGCCTCCTCCTCCCTCCTCCTCTCTCCTCCGCCTGCTCCTCTCCTGCCTCCTCCACCGCCCCCTCCTCCCCCTCCTCATCCTCGTACCCTCCTCCTGCCTCCTCCTCCTCCTCCTCCTCCCCCCCTCCAACTTCTGGTGGTGGTGGTGGAAGACAGGTTCATCATTCCCGGTGGTTCGTGGGCGACCGCGGGTCGATTCGCGCCCCCCCCCTCCCTGGGCCTAGCCTCTCCTAGCGCTGCCCCTGACCTCCAAAGGGGGCGGGGTGGGGAGCGGGGGGAGGGGGACCAGTCGGCACCGAATCGAGAAGCCCGATGAGAACGGAACTCAACATTGGAACCACGCAATGTTGAACAGCGTACCTCCCCTTGAAGCCTTTGTAGTGGGTGGGGGCGCGCGTTTCCCACGGGGGGTCCACGACCCCTGCCGATGAATGAATCGATGAGACAAACATATCCATATATGGTCCCAATTCTGGCGCTGTCCTGCTGGAAGAAGTCCAACGTGAAAACAGCCTGCGGGCTGGGCAAATTGTACCTGCCGTGTTTTCCGTCCCTCCCGCAACACTGGCAACAACGGCTGAAGCAACGGGTGACAACAACCATGCGACCGAGCTGCGTGAGCCAACACGTAAATTTGACGTGAAGAACAACGGGCGCGCTACCTGTCGTAACAGCGCAAGCCAGCTGCCAACCACAGCGGCTAGGCAGCGTGGAGAAATCACGACCGCAACGGAACGTATGTCCTGCGAACGTGGCCGAAGCTCGAGGCGGAAATTCGGGCAGTTGTTCGCCAGAGGAAGAAAGAAGAGGAGGGCAGACAGAGGAGCGAGAGGATAATGGATGTATTGACCCGACTTGAATGCATTTCCCCATGTTGTACCTGCCGCTTCTATTTCACAAGATCTGCTGAGGAATGAGGCCCAGCGGAACGAAGGCGGAGGAAAGATGACCTCCGAACTCAGAGCAGGTGTTGCCAGACTGGTGCAGGGAGCCTCGGGTGGGAGGCGGACGGAGGGACAGAGAGTGAGGGAGAGTGAGAGAGAGAGAGAGACAAAGAAAGTTGGAGATCGCTTGCAGAAAGGGGCGCGCAGAGCGGCGATGGCCAGGCCCTGGGCACGAAGGATGCGCAGGACGAAAGAGGAACAGGCTCGGCTCGTCCACGGGCCACGCGGCTGCATTTGCCAACGCAATACTGCACTCGACTCCTGGTCGTCGCACTCACGACAACCGAGACGGAGGTCGAGTCGGACCGAGAGGAGGAGGAGGAGGAGGAGGAGGAGGTTGAGGATCAGGAGGAGAAGGAGGAGTGTCTCTGTGGGCAGCCCATGGGGGCATCCCATGCCATATGTGTATACGATACGGTGCATGTCAGACGCATCGTGCGGTCTCCGTGCAATCTGTCCGAGTGAGGACAGCACCAAACGAAAACATCGGCTGCGAACTTACGGCAATCGGGATCGGGGGGGGAGAGGGCGCCGAGCCATCTATTCTGTCTGGGGCAGGCTTGGGACAGCACGCGCGTGGATGTGCCCAACGCGCTTCCTGGGTCGCTCCCCTTTGTCGTCCCTGTCTCCCTCCCTCGCTCCGTCTCGCCTCGGGGCCTCGCGCGTCCTGCGCCCCAACTTCCTCCTTCGCACGACCTGCTGTGCCTGCCGACGCGCCACTTGGCGCATGACCACCCGACCGGACCGCACCCCGCCTGCGAGGCCCGCTTCGTGCCAACAACAAAAAGGTTGAGCGATGCATCCACTCGACCCCCGCCGACGGCAACGTACACGTGCGCCTTATTGGTTGTCGCCCTGGGCTGTTTTCTCACCCGGGGGGAAAAAGGTGTCCTGAGGACCACGGGTCCCGGACCCGGGGCCTTCCCCCCGGACGAGCTTTCCATCCCGGAATCGTTTTCTGACACTCCCGGGGTCCGTGGAGGGCCCAGGAAGGCCCGGAAACAGCGCACGACCTCAGGACCCGTTTCCCTCAGGACGCGCTTTCCACACACGTAGAAGAAGACAAACAAAACATGAACATCAACTTTTGGTGCTCCGCGCGGATTCTTGGTTCCGTGCCGGACCCCCATCCCTGGCGTGCGGAGCGCGCAAGGGGCGGCGCCGGACGCGCCGCAAGGGGGGGCCCAGCGCGGATCCAATAATCCGCGCGGAGCGCCACAAGTTTATGCTCATGCCGCTATTTCCTCGCCACACATGGTGAGTCTTCTTGTCGCTCCTGACGGCTCCCCTCATGGTGGGCTTGCTTTCCACCGCCACCACCACGAGGAGGGGGAGTGGGATCTCCTCCTCCTCCTCCTCCTCCTCCTCCTCCTCCTCCTCCTCCCCTCCTCCTCCCCTCCTGGTCCTCAGGACGTACCCTATGCCCGAGCGGCGGCGGGCCCGGACTCGCCTCGGCTCGTCCCTTTGCGCTCAAGGCTGCCGCGCGCGCGCACCACGGCGGCGGCGGCCACTTCACACCCGACCACTCCTCCTCCTCTTTCTCCTCCTCCTCCTCCTCCTCCTCCTCCTCCTCATCTTTCTCCTCCTCCTCCTCCTCCTCCTCCTCCTCATCCTCATCTCATCATCAGCATCAGCATCAGCATCAGCATCAGCATCAGCATCAGCATCAGCATCAGCATCAGCATCAGCATCAGCATCAGCATCATCATCATCATCACCACCACCATCATCATCATCATCATCATCATCATCGTCATCGTCATCGTCATCGTCATCGTCATCGTCATCGTCATCATCATCATCATCATCATCATCATCATCATCATCATCATCATCATCATCCCTCTTCCACCCCTGGGGCCTCTCGGGGCCTCAGGACTGCAAACGTCATTGCACCGACCTTGCAGACGTGCTGCAGCGGATTTCTTCGTGGACTCCTGCCAGTGCAGAACCCGAAACGGCGGGCGAAGAACGGCGTGAATTTCACGTGGAGCTTTTGTAGTCTCCATTCCTGGCATAAAAAAATCATACGACATTCACTTCGAAATCCAAAACGGAATTCTCCAGGACAATCTGGGCTCATTCCATTGTTTTCCTAACGGGATCCGCTCTGCGATGTCGGCGCCATGGCAAATGCAAGGCGACGATCAGTGAACGAATGTGCTGGGAACAATGAACAACCTATCAGGAAGATCCCGGAGGACTCATGCGGCGACTCGAGACCCAGTGTGCGTAGGATCCACATCGGATTGAAGTCGGACTCGTCGAAGGTACGCTGGATGTACGTCGGACAATCGCCGCACGAACGTCTTCCCGTATCTGACAAGGCGGACGTGTTGACCAGATGATAGAACTATTGCGCGCCGCGCGAGGCCCCCCAGGACTCTCTCCATAGACAGCATACCTGTCGAATCTTCGGCTTTCGCTTCGCTTCGGCTGCGTCTGGCCCGTCGACTGCCCATGCGCGCGCCCGAGGAGGGCGGGAGGAACGATCAAACACAGGGTTTCGCGGCTCGGGGCCAGTTGTTCTAATTATCATCCTGGGCGCCGCCGCGTGAACAAGACCCACGGTAAGATTGTGAATCACCACGCAGCATTAGGGAAACACCTCCTGCGAAATCTTTGCAGGAACGGTTCAAACAAAGGGAGCCCGAAAAGGCGGGGGGAACATGCCAGACAACACAATCAACGCAATGACAACCCAAATGAACCCAAATGGAACAACACTGCCTGGGACGAGGCCAGCCGACTGACGGCTTTCGACCACGGACATGACAGCGCCGATGCTGAGCTCTGCCTCCCATGACTTGTAACCCAATGGGTGTGGTATGGCCTCTCCCTGTCCGAGGCCTGGGGCTTTGATCATACGTCGCCCCACGACCCGGGAGGGCCATTGGCCAGGGGTAGTGGACGGGTGCCTGCATCACCGCCGCTCCCTGCGGTACAGTCCCACCACCGGCTACCTACCGCCTCCTCGGGCAGGGCAGGAGGAGAAGGGTGGGGAAACCATGAGGTACTGATACTCCTCCTCCTCCTCCTCCTCCTCCTCCTCCTCCTCCTCCTCCTCCTCTCCCAGGAGGCGTACTAACCAGAACTTCGAGGCGAATCCAGCGGTGGCGACGAGGACCTCCCAGGAGGCCGGAAAAGGGGAACACCGGCGAGGGGTAGCGGCATGGGCACCTTTTCTTCCTCCTCCGAGAAGGATGCGAGGCGGGAGTCTACGCATGACCGCCGCCTGCGGGATCGAGATTCGGGGACATCGGCAGGGGGACGGAGATGGACATGAGAAACACGCTTGCCCCCCCAGGGCCCCGTCTGCCGAGGCCACCAAAGGTCGATCCCCGGGGCGGGGCTATGGATATATGTTCGCCTCGGCAAAAGCGCGTGCAAAGCGGGCATGGGTACTTCTGCAAGTTGTCGTACAGGCCGGTGCCCTTGGACCGGAAATCCTGCAGCCCATCGCCCGGGGCGCCCGTCGCACGTAGGAAGCAGTGGGGCAAGCTAGAGTTTGTTCGTGCGGTTTGGGGGAAAGAACAAATAGGAGCAGACACCGAAACATCCGCTGCCCCTCGATGGGGCTGCCATCTCAACGGAATGCTCTACAACGGCCGGCCACGTGAGCGTCACCGCACTCGCTGCCCCTAAAAGGGGCTACCACCGCAATGGAAATGCTCTCTAGTGGCCGGCTGAGCTAACGTGACTACATTCTGGGGGGGAAGCGGAGGAGGAGGAGGAGGATGCTAAAGCCTGTTAGTGTTAGGTCGGGCATGTCCACCGACAGGCGTATTTTGGAAGAGACCTCAAACATAGTTAAGCAATACTCGACAATAGCCACAGAAAAATCGTTCCAGACGTTTGTTTGACTATTTTTCCCTACCTAGGCTCTGCCTAGAAGGGTTCGTACTCGGTATGCTTGAAGGGCCGGGCAGTCCAACTCGCCCCGGGCGGTTCCCCCAGTATCCGCCACGCGGATCCCCCAGTTACGTCCCCTTAGCTTAGCCTTGCTTATCTCATCGTAGCTTAGCTTATGTCATATTAGCTTAACTTAGTTTCATCTTAGCGCAGGTTTATCTTAGCTTAGCTCACCTTCATCTTAGTTCCGCCGAGCTTTAGCATAGCAGAGCACAGCATAGCATAGCAGAGAGTAGCACAGCACAGCGCAGCACAGCATAACATCGAAAAGCCCAGCATAGCACAGCACAGCACAGCACAGCACAGCATAGCGCAGCACAGCACAGCGCAGCATAGCATAGCATTAGCATAGCATAGCATAGCAGAGCATATCAGCAAAGCGAAAGCAAAACAACCGCAGCGACAGCAAAGTCAAGCATAAGCAACGCACATCATCATAGCATAGCAGAGCGTAGCATAGCGCAGCACGGCATGTTACAGCATAGTCCAGCATAGCATAGCATAGCATAGCATAGCGCAGCACAGCACAGCACAGCATAGCACAGCGCAGCATAGCATAGCATAACATAGCAGAGCAGAGCATAGCGCAGCATAGCATAGCATAGCATAGCATAGCGCAGTATAGCATGGCATAGCATAGCATAGCAACTAATGATGCTTTCCTAGGGGCTCCAACTTCTAGGTAGGGTCGCACTGGGGTAAGTTGATGTGTCCCTCCTGTAGAGGGGCATGCCCGATTTCATGCTGGCGCCTGTCAGTGTGTCTGGGCGCGATGCACCCGTTGGTGCGCCAATGCTCTTCGCTGCAACGCGCGGGCACGTGCGCGGCGACGTGCGCGGAGGGCGCGGGCGCGATCAAGCAGTGAGTCTTACACTGTTCCCATCGTAGCTAAAGGCCACATGGCATACATGATTTCGAACACCGAGAAACAACAATAATCGAAACCGTGTCTGCCCGACACGCTGGTGAAGTGTCGAACGAATATCGCCTCTCAGGGCCCGACACGTGCAAACCAGTTTCGATAGCTGATTGATGCTCGACATTCTTTCCGGTGATCACAGCTAAAGTAGTTTGGAACATCTTCAAGTGGAAGCCAAACGTTACTCCTTACGTATTCCATCACCAATGACTGCAGCACACAGTTCAGAGGTTCAAAAGCCAAGCCCCTGCAAACGGCGTGCTTGCAAACGGGGTGGTAGCTAAAGGTGCGTTTTCAATTGTGGTTTCGAAAGTCTGAGTTGCCGCGCACAAGTACGAGGTAATGCCCCCCGCCCAGAGATATGATGATGAACCGACGAGTTAGTCGCCCCCATTTATCGCGCGCCAGTGCAAGGAAAATGCCCACTTTACTAACACCCCGTTTGCAGGGGCTTGGAGAAGGCGGACTGACCTCCACAAGTATGATACAATACAACCTTGAGAGCTTTTACCGAAGAGACCTTGTCACAACTGTTCAAGGAAGACCGATCGCCGGGGCCAGCAATAATCCGCCAGTCCCCTTGTGGGGCCACCAGGCTGTAGGACGAAGGTTTGCTGTTCCCTGTACCATGTCCAATTTCCAATTTCCGCTATTACAATTCTCCTTCTTGCTGCTTACTGCTCCTGGTTGATGGACCGCGCGAGGGGGGGGGGAGAGCCGAGAAGGAACCTGGGTTGTAGTTACCACACCCAAATCGGGTGCTCTGAATTCCTGTGGGACACCGCGTAAATTAAACTAGATGTGCGACCCCGAAGTCATAAACCCTCGTACATTACGCACGATTCGCGTATCCGAAGCAATGAACCCTCGAAATACAACACCGAATTCACCAACATCATCAGGATCTCAATTTGTCTTGCCGATTACTCATCGTCTTCGCGCAGAGTCCCGACGCTGCTTCACGGCGGCGCCAAGGCCTCATGATTTCGCTCTTGCATTGCCAAGTATCCCAGGGCCGGCGGCAGGGGGCGAAACCCTTACGGATAATCTGCAAACCTGGCGCTCCTCTGCTCCTAACTACGCATCCGAGAACATGGCGCGCCGGACACGACTGCGTGTGATGTGTATCATGTGTCAAAGCGCACGCACGGCCGAACTAGGGACTGCATTATTGCTGACGTGCCCAGACTTGCGGCGGCGGTCAACACTACCACCGATGTTCTGCAACCGTACGCAGACATTTGACTTTGCCGAATAAAGGAACTGTAAGTCGACGTGTTGTGGCAGATGGCATTGTATGCTACTCTGCTGCAGTGTATGACATTACGACGCATCCATAAATGACGCCACAATGTGTCACACGGCACAATCATGTATTTCAACGCATGAGATTACATGGCGCCTCCGTACGCTAGACTATACAATTTTGTAGCATAGCGAGTGCGTTGTTGTGGGGATACGCGGCGTGTACACTTACCCGCCTGCATATGAATGGACAGCATCCTCTAACCCACGCTATATGTACTGGCATGGCTCGTGCGTCCAGGAAACAATACCTCTCAGCGCATGCACTGCTGCAAGGAGCTTGCGCATCTGAGGTCCAGGGCGAGCTCCTTTGTCCCCCCCAAACTGGTAAGGCTTCGGGTTGCGCGCAGACAGCCCCCACATCCAGATCATTGGATACCACATTTTTCGGTAGGGATCGGTAGCGGTACTCCAAATCGGTCGCGACCGACCAGTCGCGACAGATTCTGAAAAAAATCGGTCGCGACCGATGCCGATTTTTAAGCAAAATCGGTTAATCCAAAATGGTTGAGAACCCTTTGGCGCGGAGCGCCTCACACGCGCGCCGCCGGAGGCGGCTCCAGGGTGTTGAGACCGCCCCAGGCTGCTCGGGGGGCCTGTTGAAGCCAGAAAGGGCTACTCGGGGGGCCCGTTGAGGCCAGCCAGGAGTACCTGGGAGCGTTGTCTGCGCGCAGCCCGAAGCCTCACCAACCCCAGCGCGTAAAATGGACCTGGGCGGGCGGTAGTGGGGGTTTGCGCACATGGATTGCGCACATGGAGTGTGAGGACACGTGGGCCTCTTCTGGCTCCAAAAGGGGCCGTGAAGAGCACCTTTGGGGCCCTTGTCTTCACCCCCCAATTGGGCCGAAGAAACTGACCGAAGAAACTGCGGCGCGGCGGCTCCGGGATGCCCGCGGACACGGAGATGCCCGCACCGCAGACGACGACAACGCTGTCCTCCGCGGCGCGAGCGGCGCGCGCAGCGGACGGCGGTGGCTTCTGGGGGGGCGGGGGCGGCGGGGCCACCCCGCAGTTGCAGATAAGAGTGCGGGGGCGGCGGTGACGTCGGCACTCTGCAAGGCTCTGAAGGAGTCCGCCGCAGGCGCCTAATTTCTATGAGCTGCACAACGAGCTCGCCGCAGGCGCCAAGGGGGTGGGTGGGTCGCGGGGGGGGTCGCGGGGGGGGTCGCGGGGTGGGGTCGCGGATGGGTGGCGGATGGGTGGCGGGCGGGTCGCGGGCCAGGTCGCGGGTGGGTCGCGGGTGGGTCGCGGGCCGGGTCGCGGGGGGGACGACGACAACGAACAACAGACAACAACAATGCGCACCGCAGAACCTTCTTTCAGCCACGCGCCCAGAGACAGTGAATGAACGTTCGGCCCATCAATCTAATATGTGTATCTGTGGGTTGATGTACTGATTTGAATTTGGTCGGTCCCCCCCAGTGATCCTCCAAAACGCCCAAAACACGAATCCGCTGAATCGGCAATTTTATACAACCGCACTCTCGCTTCACTTGCGAACTCTGTCGCTTCAGCCTGTGACCCATGCTGACGAGCGCCTCCGTTCGGCCCATCCGTCACGGGCACCGTCCCGCAAGCGTGTCGGTGTTGGCTGGTGGCGCCAGGCACTGTGTATCCTTGTATTCTTCCGAGGGACCACGAAGAACATCAGTATACTTCTGTGTACATATTTTGTATAAGTGTGGCCTTATGTGTACTTGTTTTCTTCTGTATACTTAGGTATACGTGTCTTCACATGGATACTTATGTATGCATGTTTTCTGGGGGGAGGGGGAAGGATGGCCGGACGCCTCCGCGATCGCCGTGCCTCCCCCCGGCGCCTCTCGCTGAGCCTCCGAGAACAAAAAGCCCAAACATCGCCCACCAGACTCAGTGCGTGGCGACTTCGCACGCCAGCGGCGCCACGCATACACGGCGCTCTCGTGGTACAGAGGGCGCCAGACAATGTGTATACATGTGTGCTGTGGTTGTTTGGCTTGTGAAGCTACGGTTGAGTCGGGCATGCCCTTCTGCAGGTAAAATCTTCAACAGTAATTAAAAACAAAATCTGGGACGATGTTTGGGCAATCGTTGCATATGTTTGAGCGTGGTTTTGCTACTTCCTCTTGTTCCTGACCGCTCCCCGCGCCTTTTCCCCCAGGGGGCAGGGTGATGTTTGGGGAGACGGCACTAACAAATCAGGACATACGATGGCGAAGCCACGGCGCTTCACACACAGACGATGGGAAGCGCAACGATGTTCTGTCCAGCAAGTGCCCTGGGACCTCCAAGCGGGGCTCTCAAGAGAAATGCGAAGCGACGGCCAGGCCAAGCCGGCGCCGAGCACAGAAGACCAGTTGAAAACGCCATCTTTGCCACGCGGTGTGTGGGGGACGGTGGGTGGGCGGCTTTTCAAACAACACATTGCCACGGGATCACTGCACCGCAAACTGATCAAGAGGCTCCGTTCTAGGAAAACGAGTGGAACGGCAAAAACATTCCTGACCACTCTCCGCGCCTGTTCCCACAGGGGGCAGGGTGATGTGTGGGGAGACAGCACTGACAAATCAGGACATGCGATAGCGAAGCCACGGCGATTCACACACACAGACGATGAGAAGCGCAACAATTTTCTGTCCAGCAAGTGCCATGGGACCTCCACGCAAGGCTCTCGAGAGAAATGCGAGGCGACGGCCAGGCCAATCCAACGCCGAGCACAGAAGACCAGTTGTAAACGCCATCTTTGCCACACCTCCCAAATCCATAGTTATGCCTTGAGTGGGGCGGGAGGGACCTGAAACAAACTCAACCTACGATCGGATGCTCAACAGAACTCACATGTCTGAGAATAGCAACAACGGCACGATCACCGAAGCGACTGGCACGAGCACGCTGAGGCCTCGACAGTTTGGCGGTCTGTCGAAGCAACGACCCGTTTTTTTTTTTTGTTGTTTTTCCGTACGCTCGAACACTGGAGGAGGCCCGCCATCTGCCGCGGGCCTGAATGTCATTCAAGTCTCTCACGGCGTGCAGCGCGTCGTGAGACGGGCCTCCGCGACGAAGCTGGCGGGGGGCGCTGTGAAGGTCGTGCACACCAGCCGCCAAAGAAACTTCTCTCGAGAACTTTTCGTACACAGCAAGAGAAAGAGGGGCGAAAAGGAGGGGAGCAGGGGGCGAAAGGGAACGTGCGCGGGCCTGGAGACCGAGCAGAACACCTGGGCACAACCGACGAATTTGAAGGGGAGAGCCTGCAACGACAGTGCAGCCGAAATCGCGATTCTTGGCTGGCCCGGCATCGTCGTGGCCAAGGGGAGAGCCCTCGAGCTCCGCCACCGCCGCCGCGTAGGCCTCCCGCGTGGCCGGCCTCAACCGGGCCAGGCGAAAGTAATCGCCCGGCGTCCAGTCGCGCGCCGCGAGGGACTCGTCGGCGCGCGCCGCAGCGGCTGACCGCCGCCGGCGCTCCGCCGCGGCCTCCGCGCGCGGAACCCGCAACGGCCGCCGGCTTCCAGAGTCAGAACGCCGCTTCAGCGCCGGCGGAGGCGCGGCGTCGCCCCCCCGGGGCGCCCGCGGCGACCGCGCACCAGAGGCGCGCCGGGCGGGCAGCTCAGCAGCCTGGCCGAGGCCGCGGCCTAGGGTCGAGTGCTCTCGGCCACGAGCCTCGCCAAGGCGGAACATGCTGATTGGCGCCGTGGCGGCGGCGGGCTCCGGGGCCCCGGCCGCGCTCGCCATCGCGCGATGCCCCGGAACGGCCAGGACGGGACCTCCTGCCGCCTCAACGCGGCGATCACCGCGCTCAGCTGCACCCGCTTTCCCCGCGTCGGCGGCGGGATGGGGGGGGCCCGAAGGTCGCGGCCCGGGCCCCGCCGCTTCTCGGCGACCCACTGGGGCTGCTCCTCGGGCTGGACGTTCTCGACCGCCACCCAGCCGAGCCCGTCGTCGACGAGGGCCAGCCCAACGGCGTCGCGCGCCACGAACCTGTCGGCGTAGGCCGCGAGCCTCGCCTCGATCTCGTCGCCAAACCCCTCGACGGCGTGATCCGCGATGACCCAGCGCGCCACACGGGCGCCCGGCGGCGCCGCTGGGATGGCGACGGCGAGGTTCCGGCCCTCCAGCCGCAGGTGGTCCAGCGCGTCGGGCTCGAGCTGGCCAAACGCGTAGACGTTCCCCCGCACGCGCTGCGGGAACGGGGCGTCCCGCCCCATGGCGACCACGAGGTGGGCCGACAGCTGCAGCACCAGGATCTCGCCGTCGGGCGTGGCGGCCACCCACTCCCCCGGCGCGTGGCCGGGACAAGGAGCAGCCTGTGGTGCCACCGAAAGTTGTCGTCGTCGTCGAAGTTGATGCAGACCTGGCTCTCGGCGACGTCCAAGGTCCGCGGGGCCGCGGCCATCAGGCCTGGATGGCGCGGAACCGCACCGGGCCAATGTCGTTACGCACGACCACCTCGCTGGCAGGGCCGCTGCCCTCGTCGGCGTGAACCAGGGAGGCGGCCGCGCGTCGGGCAAGCCACCGCAGGCCCGCGAAGCAGCCCGCCGCCGCCGTCGCCAGCAGCAGGCCGCCGACCAGGCCGAACAGCAGCCCAGCCGCGAAGCCCCAGCAGCCAGCCGGGGCGGGCGCCTCGCAGGCGGCCGCCGGTGCCTCCTCGCAGGCCGCCGCAGGCTGGGCAGGAGGCCTCGGCGGGGGCGGTCCACGTGACCGCCGGGCAGCCCGGGCACGGCGGGCAAGCTGGGCACGAGCCGCAATGGGGCTCGCACCGGAGCTCCGCCGGCGGACACGGCGGGCAGGCGGGGCAGGGCGGCGGCTGCGTCACCCAGGCGGCCCCCGGCTGCCCCAGCCAGGGCGCGGCAGCGCAGAAGGCGCCCAGCATCCACCGCGGAGGCCGGGCCGGAGCGCACTCCCCGAACGGCTTTTGAGCCAACACATCACCACGGGATCACTGCACCGCAAACTGATCAAGAGGCTCCGTTGTAGGAAAACGAGTCGAACGACAAAACATTCGTCCAAAAACCGCCTGTAGGAGGACATGCCCGACCTAAAGTTACGAAACACTGTGTATGCTTGTGTGGCGGAAGCTCTCGTGCTCGCCGTGGCCTTCCCCAAGCACGCGACGTCTGCCCGTCGCCCCCTCAGAACTGGCACTGCGCGTCACCGCGCGGGCGAAGACGACGGGTGCAGAGCATGCCCGGGTGCCCTGCTTCCGAAGCGGGGGGTCCGAGCGTCCGCAAAGAGGGCTCCGAGGCTGCGACCCCTGCGCTCATGGTAATGACGCAAGGGGGGCCCAACCACAAGAAACCTTCCACAAGAAACCCATCCCTGAGACCCCAAGATGTCCCTTGATTTTTGGCGTGGGAGCGTCACGCTTTCCGTGGCGAAGCCGTCGAAAACCAGGACACCCATGGCACCCTGGAGGCAAGCAGGGTGTTTCTTGGCATGGGTCTCCACTGTACATGTTGGCTGGAGAAGAAGGCCGAAGGACCAAGGGGGCCGCAAGACCCTTGTCGGTACAAGTGCGGCGGATGTCTCCATGGAGGAAGCACGTGCGCTGCTGGTGCAAGAGGACGCCTTTGCTGCCGCCTCGGTCATTCTACACATTCTCTTCCAGCACCTCCGCCTGCTGGACCTGAGCAAGCACACCTACCAGAAGGTATGGAACCTTGGGCCAAAATTGCGTGCTGCTCTAGCCGCGCTTGGTCTCCGAAACACGTGTTGGCCAGAGACCTCTGCCGGGAAAAAACTCTTCGAGCAGGGCAAGTAGCCCGGTGCAGCGTGCAGTCGTACTGGAAACAACCAGGCAAAAACGGCAAAACCGCATCACTGGTTCGACTGCAAGAATTACACGTGTGCTGTGCACGCGGTGCCCTGCCGCAGCGGGGCGAGAGGTGGCTTGGTCTCCAAGGCCCGCAGCCGTTGGAAAAGGTACAGGGGTGGAGGGGAGGGGACTGCGCGGGCGCCGCGTAGAGCCGCGCTCCAGAAGCGCAAACTGCGCCACCCGCGCCCCAGGAAGAAAGAAGAAGCACGAGGAGGAACGGATCTGGAACTCATGGCTGATTGTGCTGGTCTCTTGTGGAACTGGATGAATTGCACATCGGCGTCACCCCCTCGTTCAGGGGAGAACATTAAACGCCGTACCTATCCAGGATAACTGCTCTTCGGGGTAACGCCGGATTGGGCCCCCACGGCGCGAATCTGCAACATCCCTGACTGCCCCAAACCCTGCTGATTCGGCAGAAGCGGACGCCCGAAGAATTTGGGATAACTGCGGTCTGGGGAAAGTCCGGGCTTGGCCCCCAGGCGCGGATCTGCACTTACCCCTGACCGCTCCCAGCCCTGATGACTCGGGGCTCTGAAACATACCGAGCCCGGCAGAGGGGGGAGAGGGGGGAAATGCCTGGGGGGAGAGAACAGTAAACAATCGCATCTGGAAGCCACTGTCTGCCTTCCCAAAGGGGGGGCTGAAGGAGGGCAGGCTGCTAACAAAAAGGTGACGAAGACGAAAACGACCACGACGACGACGACGATGACGACGACGACGACTACGACGGCGACGACGGCGGCGGCGGCGACAGCAACAGCGGCTGCGGCGGTGGCGAGCATCGCGCGGTCCTCGGGCGCCGCCGCCAACCGCCTGGCGAAGGCGGCCGCGCTGACCTCTGCCGCAGGTGGGCTGTCCGCGGACGCCGCCGCCGCCGTCGCAGCCAGCGCCGCCGCCGTCACCGCCTCCGTCCAGTTTTCGCCGGTGCCAGCGTCGCCGTCGTCGCCGCCGTTGGCCGCCGTCGTCGTCGCCGACGCCGTCACCACAATTGCAGTCGTCGCCGTCGTGGTCGTCGCCGTCGCCTCTGCCGCCGCCGTCGCCATCGCCACCGCCGCCGTCGTCTTCGGATGTGTTGCCCCCCTTTCGTAACCCTCGCCATCGCCGCCGCCGCCGCCGCCGCCGCCGCCCACGTCGTGTTCGTTTTTTGCACGGCTTCGGAATCCCTCTAGACCTGTTGGCGCAAGTGGTCTTGCGAATTAGCTTTCCACCCTCTAGTGAGACCACCTCTCGCTACCCCGGAACACTTCTCGAAGCCCGAGCTTCTTCTGGACTGCACCCCCGAGGATCGCCGTCGAAAGGCTTCTCCCAAAGGCATCCGATGCGGACAATACTTGTATCCATCTCCACTGCGTCTAGGAGTTTCGGGCTCCCTTCCCCAGAAAAAAGAGGCGCAGAGGATATGGATAAAAATCGGTCCCCTAGGGGCTAGATGGTTGATCGTACCCACTGCGCTTCGGCCTTGTGGTGTCCCTTCCCAGAAAGCCCACGACGCAATGGATCAGGATATGAAATCTTGCCCGCAACGTATCATCATCATCATGACTCACTGTTCCTCTGAAGCTGCTGCCAGCCCAAGAGACACCAGCAAAGGCAAGCCCGCCACGTGGTAGACGCCAAGACGCGTGCGCCGCACCGAGCGCTCGCACGGGCGAAGAAGTCGCAGCTGCGCCCTGGACTTTGGAGCCTCGGCCTTGCGGTGCCATTTCCCAGAACTTGGAAGCGGCCGGGGAGCCTGAACGTTTAAACGGGATGGGACCCCAAAAACTCGGTTAGGAGGAGGGGCGAAGCCAAATCTTTGCAAAATCGGTCCTCGGATCCCTACCAGGATCCATCTGGTGCAATTCTTCACTCCGGATACCGGATAAAACGTTCACGGTCCCGGGGCTCGATAACAGCCCCCAGAGGCCCCAAAACGGAAAACAAAACTGCCCCAACCCAAAACCTCGGGGCTGCCCGCCCTTGCTGCTCGCCGGAACCAGTGCTGGGCGCAGTGGATACTTATATATTGCTAGAAATGCCCCTGGCCCAATGTACCCTCCGAATATCTCGGACGGCCTCCACAGCACCCCTCACGGGGCCCAGAGGGCCCTAGGGGCTCCAAGATGGAAGGACATTCTGGAGGCACCTCGGGCCAGGGGCACCTCCAGCAGCACCCGATAACCCTGAAAGGTCTTTAGAACCGCCCCCCAATAGGGGGCAACAGATTTTCTCTCGGCAGCCCTATTGAAGGACAGGGGTCCCGCCAATAGAGGGTGGTAATTTTGTTCCGCGGCACCCGCCTCGCAACGACTACGGCGCGACAGCTACGACTACGAGGGGGAGGAGAGGAGGAGGAGGAGGAGGAGGTGGAGGAGTCGGAGGAGGAGCAGGAGTAAAAGGGAGGATAAGGAGGAGGGAGGAGGAGGAGGAGGACGAGGAGGATGAGGAGGAGCTGCTGTTGCTGCTGCTATCTGCACCGATGTCCAGATTGGTTAGCAAGAGCTGTCTATTTGCGGGCACCGCAGAGCCTGAATTTATGTGTTCACCAGGGGGCCTGGGACTCCAAAGTGGGAGCGCAAGGCCTGGCGCCGCTGCTTGGGGCGCGCACGACGCCAGCAGTGGCACCGCGGCACGGGGATGCTCGACAGCTCTATTGCCGAGCTAATTCTTCGAATCTGACTCTGGTTCTGAGGGCCTCAAGCCTGTCCTCCCGGGGTCTTGTGCTGAGCGAGCGGAGAGAAGAGAGCGAGAGGACCTCGGAGGCGAGGGGAGGGCGAGGAGTGGAGGCAAGCGCTGCACAGACTCACTGCGTGCTCCTCTATCTCCTCCTCTGCTGCGTTCGCCTGCTGCTCTCACTTCGCCCTCAGTCTGTACGCGAGCCCTCCCACGGTTGCCTGCCCTGGAAGCTTCCGAATGCCCATCGCACGGAGGCACAACGTGATCAGCCTGTTGATTCTCGCCCACGTCTAGCCCCCTTCGTGTTCAGCTCGAGCGGGTGGAATTTCAGTTGCGCAAGCTCCGCTTCGTGTTCCTCGTTGACCGCCACGGGCCAGTGCCCCACGAAGTTGAACCCGAGCCTCGCAGGTGGTGCCACCCGGTGTTTCTGCTGCATCTCTCCTGCGCGGCACGTCACGCACCAGTCCTCGAACTCCGCTGGGGCGTCGGCCTTCCTTGCGTTGTCCAGCCTTTTCAGCGCCGCGAAGATGCACCGGATGTCTTCGCTCTTGCCATCCAGGTTGTTGCTGCTAATGCTCGTGAAGGAGGAGGAGGAGGAGGAGCAGGAGCAGAAGCTGGAGGGAGGAGGAGGAGGAGGCGTTGGGGAGGAGGACGTTTTAGGACTGGTCCTATTCACCGCCGAATGACAAGGAGAGGGACATGTATCGGTTTATGAATATGAGATCGGGCATGTCCGCGTACACGCGAATTTCGAAAGATGTAAAATAGTGAAAGAAGACTCCAATATTAGAAAAATCGTCCCGAGACAAAGTTTTTGACTACTTTTGAATATTCCTCCTGTAGAGGGACGTGCCCGACTTACCCTATATGGCAAGTTCGTGTCGTGCCGACCCTGGCGCTGGTTCCTGACACCATGGGGATCGTTCAACCTTGCACGAACGGCCGTTTGCTCAGGCGTCAGATCGCTCAACATCGACCGATCCTGGCTCGCTGGCGGCGTCCAGCGTTGAACGCCGGCGGCGGGATCGTCGCTGGTCGACACGACGCGAATAGGGAACAGAGAAGTTGCATGAACATAACAACTCTTAGGTCCGCGCGGAGTTCTCGGACCGGCGCTGGAGCCGCGCCGCCAGGCAAGAGAGCCCAGAATCGAATCGACAAAACGGATCGGCAAACGACATGAATCGGATCGACGGATCTCGGCAGCGGAGTCGGGAAAAGCCGAATTGGCAGACATCGGCAGGCTAGGAAGCCTCCAATCAGAAATCCGACTCCAGATCGGAATCCGAAGTCGAATCGACTCGGAATCGGAGGCCATCGAAATCGAATCGAACCGGCGGAGTCGAAATGAGCCCAGGCCAGGGGGGGGACCAGCGCGGATCCGAGAAATCCGCGCGGACCTTATAGTTCCCCACATCCTGAGTGGGGTTCTTGTTTTCCCAGAACGCCCTCTCCTTCCCACCCACCTCCCGCTCCATCTTCCATACAGCACAATATTATTCCTACCACACACACCATACCATACCATAGTTCCTACCACACATACCATACCATACCATACCATACCATACCACACCATACGTACCATACCGTACCATACCATACCATGGCGTACCATAGCATACCATACCATATCACACCAATGCCACACCGTACCATACCATACCATACCTCCAGTACCATACCATACCATATCATACCATACCGTACCATACCATACCTACCATACCATTCCATACCACTCCATACCGAAAACCATACTACTTACATGGTTTCGTGCCCCTCCCACCCCTCCAGGGAGGCCCCGCCTGAGCGAGGAGGGTATCGGAATACCATACTATTTACATGGTTTCGTGCCCCTCCCACCCCTCCAGGGAGGCCCCGCCTGAGCGAGGAGGGTATCGGAATACCATACTATTTACATGGTTTCGTGCCCCTCCCACCCCTCCAGGGAGGCCCCGCCTGAGCGAGGAGGGTATCGGAATACCATACTATTTACATGGTTTCGTGCCCCTCCCACCCCTCCAGGGAGGCCCCGCCTGAGCGAGGAGGGTATCGGAATACCATACTATTTACATGGTTTCGTGCCCCTCCCACCCCTCCAGGGAGGCCCCGCCTGAGCGAGGAGGGTATCGGAATACCATACTATTTACATGGTTTCGTGCCCCTCCCACCCCTCCAGGGAGGCCCCGCCTGAGCGAGGAGGGTATCGGAATACCATACTATTTACATGGTTTCGTGCCCCTCCCACCCCTCCAGGGAGGCCCCGCCTGAGCGAGGAGGGTATCGGAAAACCATACTATTTACATGGTTTCGTGCCCCTCCCACCCCTCCAGGGAGGCCCCGCCTGAGCGAGGAGGGTATCGGAATACCATACTATTTACATGGTTTCGTGCCCCTCCCACCCCTCCAGGGAGGCCCCGCCTGAGCGAGGAGGGTATCGGAAAACCATACTATTTACATGGTTTCGTGCCCCTCCCACCCCTCCAGGGAGGCCCCGCCTGAGCGAGGAGGGTATCCGAAAACCATACTATTTACATGGTTTCGTGCCCCTCCCACAGGGAGGCCCCGCCTGAGCGAGGAGGGTATCGGAAAACCATACTATTTACATGGTTTCGTGCCCCTCCCACCCCTCCAGAGAGGCCCCGCCTGAGCGAGGAGGGTATCGGAAAACCATACTCTTTACACGGTTTCGTGTCCCCCCTCCACTCCTCCAGAGAGGCCGCGCTTGAACGAGGAGGGTCGCGGAAAGCATTACTCTTCGCCAGGTTTCGTAGCCCTCCCCCCTTCCAGCGGGGCCCCGCCAAAGCGAGGAGGGCATCAAAAAACTGAGTCCCACGAAACCGTTAATCTCTTTATGTGGGGAACTCCGTTAGCATAATTTTTATGTTTATGCTATTCTTCACAACCCTGAACCGCCTGCGCCTGGGCGATTGGGAGGAGGAGGAGGAGCTAGGAGGAGGAGGAAGAGGAGGAGAAGGAGGAGGAGGAGCTAAGAGAAGCAGGAGCAGTAGGAGGAGGAGATGGAGGAGGAGGAGCTAGGAGGAGGAGCTAGGAGGAGGAGGAGAGGAGGAGGAGGAGGAGGAGGAGGAGGAGGAGGAGGAGGAGGAGGAGAGGAGGAGGAGGAGGAGGAGGAGGAGGAGGAGGAGGAGGAGGAGGAGGAGGAGGAGGAGGAGGAGGAGATGGAGAGGAGGGAGGAGGCGGAAGGGGAGATACCAACCCTGCCCGCGCCCGGTCGCGCCGCCGACGGGCCTCTCCGCAAGGGGGGCCTCTCCCGCGGCGGCCGCCCCCCCTGGGAGGAGCGCCTTCGGCGGCGAGGGCCGCGGGCGCCCCCTCGCGGGAGGGCCCCCCCCCCCCGCGGCGGCGGGGGTGGGGGCCTTCCGCGGCGGGGCGGAGGGGCGGCCCGCCGCGGCCGCCGCGGGGGATCGTCGTCGTCGCCGTCGTCGGCGTCGTCGTCGTCGCCGATCGGCGTCGTCGCCGCCATCGATCGGCGTCGTCGATCGTCGTCAGTCGTCCTCGTCGTGGTCGTCGGTCGTCGTGGTCGTCGATCGTCGTCGTCGTCCGTCGTCTCCGTCGTCGGCGTCGATCGGTGTCGTCGCCGCGGTCGTCGTCGTCCGTCGTCGTCGTCGCCTTCATCGATCGTCAATCGTCGATCGTCGATCAGCGTCGTCGATGGGCGTCGTCACCGCCGTCAATCGGTGTCGTCGATCGTCGTCGTCGTCGTCGTCGTCGGCGTCGTCGTCGTCGTCGATCGTCCTCGTCGTTGGGGGGGCGCAGCGGGGGCCTCGTCGCCGAGGGGCTGCGCCCCCCGCTCCTGCGGCATGCGGTCGCCCTGGGCGGCGGTGCCTCCCCTCCTCCTCCTTCCCCTCCTCCTCCTCCTCCTCCTCCTCCTCCTCCTCCTCTTCCTCCTCCTCCTCCTCCTACTCCTCTTCCTCCTCCCCCCCTCCTCCTGCTCCTCCTCCTCCTCCTCCTCCCCATCCTCCTCCACCTCTTCCCCCTCCTCCCCCTCCTGCCCTTCCTTCTTGAGACGTGAGCCAGCTCCACCTCTTCCTCGTCCCCGCTCTAGTCTAAGCAACCAACTCCTGCCTGCAGGGGACATGGGGGACCGGGGGCGAGACGCCGCCTGCGGCAGAAGGGGTGGGGGGCTAAGACAAAACAGAGAAGAGGAGGAGGAGAGGAGGAAGCCAGGACGAGGACAACTTCGGGTGAGCACAGATCGAGAATCTCTGAGATCGGGCGGCTCTGGAGGATGCCTCGGGGCGCCGCGGCCCCCTCAGAACGTCCCGGGGACGCTCCGAGAGCGCCAGGGCATGCTCTGGAACGGCTTCATTCTGGTCCCAGCCCCGTCCGACAAATCCTTGGCTTCCGAACTTCGTCCCGTCGCGATCGGCACGCCGATGCACCGCGCGCCCGCGGCATCGCGCCACGGAACCCAGACCGCGAGGGCGCGGCGACGGACGTGTCCGCCGCGGCTGAGGCGCAGCCGCTTCCCTTGCCGTCGCTCGGACGTCCATTCCCTGTGTTTGTTTCGGTTTCGTGCGCATTTTTTTTCGCAGGATGATCCAGCCGAAAAGAAGTGCACACGTCCGAGCGATACCAAGTTCCTGCGGAGAGGGCATCCGCCGAGGCAACCCGCCCGGGGGCGGCCCGATCGGCCACGACGGATCGCGACCAATCCCAGAATCGGTGGCGATCGGTCGCCACAGATCGCGACCGATCGGGTCGCGACCGATCGGTCGCGTCCAATCTTGGAGCAAAGCGGTCGCGACAGATCTCGAAAATAAAAGAAGCATCGGTAGCGACCGTTCTCGTCGGTCGCGACCAGAAGATTCCAATATCCAGTGATCAGGGTGGTGGGGGGGATGCGTCCCACCTGTCCTGTGGGCGGAGGTGGTCTGACGTCCAACGGTGCTTCTCCTACCTCTTCCTAGGACGAGCGGATTGATAGTCTCCTACTCCCTCCTCCCCCCTCCCTCCTCCGCCCTCATTCTCATCCTTCTCATCCTTCTCCTCAATCTCCTCCTCCTCCTCCTCCTCCTCCTTCAGGATGAGCCAGGCTCGCGGCAACGGATGTGTACATATCTCGCTGCCCAACTTCCAAGATCCCTGCTTCTCTACAGTAGGGGCCCGACCACAAGAAACCTTACATAAGAGACCCAACTTGAGACCCCAGGACGTCCAAGGACCGATCTTTGGTGTGGGAACGTCGCGCTCCCCACAGCAGAACCATCGAGACCCACGAAATCCAGGGCACCCTGGAGGAAAGCGTCCAGGCGCGGTGTGAAGGCACCCTCCTGGCTTGGCCAGGAAGGCACGCCGCACCGCTCCTGGGCCCAGGGTGAGCGAGGCCCGTGGTAGTGGATGTGTATGGATCTCCTCCTCCTCCTCCGCACGCTACTCGATCCAACCTTTCTGTCGTTTCAGTGCCCGGGTCACAATCAGGTGCTCAGCGCAATTGCTGCAGATCCGAGAGGGCACACGATGTTCGTAACTGCCACGCCTGACGGCATTATGTTTGTATGCATGACGTGTGGCTGCATATCGGAAGGAGTGCGGGTAAACAAGCTCGGTGCGGACTGCAATAACAACCACGCCAATGACCACACACGGTCTAATTTAAACCGCATCCGCAATGGGCAACATCCGTCCCACAAGCGTGAAAACGCGATCGTCCTAGACGAACTAGTGCCCTTTTTGTTCCAGATCGAGCGCCTTGTCAGAATGTTCCCCTGGCTTCATCCAAGACTAAATTGCGCGGGGGCCTTGACCTGCACCTCGGCATGGCGCAACGGCACGTGCAAAACTGCGCGAGCTCTTACCGCTCCACGCATCCAGCTGCTTAGGGAAGGTGGGAGGTGGCCGAAACACACGGCGGCGCCATCCATCGACCTCTTCTCCCGAGGGGAGGCCTTTGGGAATTGGATGCGGCGGGCGTGACGGGGAGGTGCTTGTCCAAGGCAAGAGCATGTGCACGATGAGACTCCCCCTAACCAAGAGAGAGGCGGCGCACTGCGCGCAGGCAGGCGGGCCCGCCTGCGGCAATGAGGAAAAATGTAGCCAAGAAAGGCTAAAAAGAATTCGGAAGGGTACAGCGAACGAACGCAGCAAGGGCACAATGAAGCAAAATGGGCGCTTCGGCATCACGCAACCTCAAGGCCACCTTGGGCCAGACAGCGCGGAACGCCAACTTCAGAACGACACTCTTTGAAGGGAAGTCTTCGAAATTAGCCCAAGTACTGGCAGATGCCTGCCGAGACTGCCGCAGAGAACACTCTCACTGGCCATAAGCATACAATGGTGAAGACAGCAGCAGCGGGACAAAATGATGTCATAAGGGCTTCACAGAGGCGCTTAACCCTGTCGCGGACCCTGAGGTTTGAGATTGCAAGCTCTGGCGGAACGACCGCAGGCTAGAGACTTACAGGTGAAGCGCGTCGCTCCCCCAAGCGGTAGCTGGTGGGGGTCTGCTACACTGCCTGTTCCTTGCAGCATGAAAAAATGTGGCAACTGTTCTGAGTGAGTGAGACTACTGCATGAGAAGCGCATTCAATTCAAGTAGTCGCGTGGCTGTCTGTTGCCAAGCACCGGGCAAGCCAAGGGCAAGGCTTCTCGAGGAGGTCACTAATCGAGCAACAAAAACTCCTGTCGCGAATGCCATTTCGCGACTCAGCGAATGTCGGTTCCCGAACTAGTGGCCAAGAGGAAGCGCGGCCGTCCAGGATTCAGATAGGACAGAGCAGATCTGCGGAGTCGACGGTGTAAACTCTGTCAGCGCTCAATGTGCACCTACATACTAAGTGGTTCCTGTGGCAACCAGATAATACGCCAACTGACCTCAAAAACGCTCAAACTTCTCTTGCTCCGTTGGGTCGGAAACAATATTGTACACTTGGACCTCATCGTAGAGGGCCGGGTAAGCATCGCCCACAAAAAGAGCCAAGTTCGTGACAAGGGAGGAGCACTCATCAATGAGAATGGGGTCTTGCAGCTTGGTGAGTGTCCTATTGATGATGAGACTGGTGCGGCACTCGTATCTCTTCATGCCTTCTCTGGGCATGGTCGCCGTGTCGAAACACGACTGCGTTGTGATCGACTCTCGGTCCAGGGAACTCGCCTCCCCAGAGACCAAAGACGATCAACTGAGCCTCTTCGAGCTCATCGGCAAGGAAGCTCCTTCAGAATCCCCGGCCCAAACCAAGAACGTCGGCGCCATGTCCATGTGGATGACTGGCTCTTCCACCACGGTGCAAGCTCGGATGCCCAGACCGGCGGCCTAGGGCGGCACCCGAGTGCCCAACTCGTACAACGAAAACGTAGCCGGCCCGTGGTCAATCGATACGACGATATACGGGTCCCCGATTACATCCCGCTCAGAGAGGAAGTCGTAGAGCACCCCTAGCGACTCGTCGATCCAGCGCAGGGCTGCCAACAAGTGTCTGCAAGACCCATACTCGAACATGTTCGAGATATCGGCGACGCTATCCCAGATCTCCTAGCGTTTCGCGAGCCTGCAGCTTGAACAATACTTGGATACGTCAGGAGCGCTCGCCAAAATCCCAGCTGGTGTCTGATATGGGGTGAAGTGCCCAAGCAACGAGTCTTCTGCTGGCGGATTGTGCGGCGGGGTCGGAGAAAAGTAAAGAAAAAAAGGCTTTCCTTTTGTCATCGCGTCGTCCATGAAGTAGACTGCCCTGTCCAACATCCACTGCAAGTTGTGATTGAACGTATCGCAAATAGGGTGGCTGCAGTCGCACATGTTCGCGATGTACAGGCCATCGACAAAATCGAATCCTGAACGCATCACATGGGCTGTCTGGTCCGAGTACGGGGAGGTGAAATTTGCCTCCTCGGATTGGGTCAAACGCCACTTGCCCATCATGCCGGTAGCGTAGCCTAGACTTTGCAGAGCGATGCCGATTGTGCTCACCTGATCATTGTATCCCTGGCCCACCATACTGTACTGACCCACAAAGCCTTCGGAGATGCCAGGGAAATACTCGCTTACTTTGTCAAAGCCATATAAGCTTCGAGACGGGTGTCGCCCAGTCATAATGGAATAACGGGAAGGTGTACATAACAACGAGGCGGTGTACGCTCTCGCGAAAGTGGCACCAGACTGAGCTATCTTCTCGAGGTTCGGCATGACCCCGCCGTTATTCGTGGGCTCGGACGTCACTGGGATGCGGCTCGGCACCGCGGGAGCGAATCCATTCTGATACCACGGGAATAGTCTTTGAAGTACATGTCGTCAGGCAAGACGAGCACGATATTCGGCTTCCTCGGAAAGAGCTTCGCGCCGAGAGCCGCGCTCTCCGAGGCCTTCGGCGATGTCACCTCGCGCCGGCTCTGGAGAAGGGACACGCGGCACGCGCTGCAGGAGCAGTCCTCCTCCGCGGGAGCAGCGGCGCACGCGGTGCAGTCCTCTGGCGAGGCGGCCGCCGCCGGCGGCGCGCAGGCGACTGAGCAGAGGAGCTGAACGACGACCGAGCTTGCCACGGCGCCCAGCACGCCCGCTGGCATTAGCGGGCAGCGCCGACGGGCCGGAGGATCGCCAGTGCGCGGCGCGGGTCCGTCGAACGTGTGCCACGGCAGCTGCGCGCCCGCGGCGGCGGCTGGCGACCGCCCTTCGCTTGAGCTAAAGGTGGCTTGAGCCAAAATGGCTACGGAAGACGAACGAGTGCCCTTGAAAGAGATTTTGTAGGGCGGGGCGGGGCGCGGCGACATCAATGCAGAGGGTGACAAACAAAGAAGTCATCGTGCCCATCACCGTCGCAGGTCGACGCTCTCAGGGCAGGCATCGGAGAGGGGGGGGCAATCGTGCATGCCCCACCAGTCGTGGGGCGCCCCCCCTCCGAGACGAGGCTCTGCAGTGGGCAATGATCGTGCTTGGGCAGGCCTTTTGCTCTTTCATGCCACATCTTAGGCGCAATGCCCTCTTCCTGCTGAGGATAACCGTGCTTCACAATTGGGGCGGGCTCTCGTAGGGGGGCAACTACGTGGATATGTTGTGGGGCCAATTGGAGACCTGTTGTTGTGGGGCGAGTCGGAAGTACTCACCGTAACAGGTGGTGGGGAGTGAAGAGCGGGGTAATACGGCTGATATCAACTGATAGGGAAACATATGGGTCCGTGCGTCTCTTGTCTGGTCTTGCGTTATCTGGTCTCCTCCTCCTACTGCTCCCCTTCCTAATCCTGTTCCTCCTCCTCCTTCTGGCCCCGTCCCCCAGCCACGTCGTGGAGGAGTAGTCAGGGAGGTTCATGCTTTGACATGTCGATAGTTCGCAGACCATAGTAGGCCGAAACAGGCCTGGGGTTTGTGCAGTAGCACGCGGGCCATAGGTGGCCGTATCAGGCATGGGGGAAGGGGGCTTAGCAGCCACCGTACGAAGGCCCCGCGTGAAGGCCGTGGGTGGCCATAGGCCGTGCAGTGGAGGGTATTGGCGCGAGTGCTGCAACGCATAGGCGTGGTAGGAGGCGCATTGTAATAGGTGTTGCAGCCATGGGGGTACGGGGATTGGCAAAGGGGCAGCTCAGTGTGCTTCACAGTCGTGGGGCGGCCCTCCTCCGGGAAGAGGCCAGGCGATTGAAAGCCATCCTGCTTCGCAGCCGTGGGGGGACCTTCCTCGTGCACTCCAGGGTACATCCCACTTGAATTAGCATTCTGCATGTCAAACAGTTTGCACCACGCAGGCTAGCATGGCTTATGTTGCAGACAGTTCAGTGCCTTCTGATGTTCAAGAGTTGGAATCGGAATTGAACATAGCATGCCACAGTTTGTTAGGGTAAGAAACGGCAAAACATTACCCGTGCCTTGAACGACAGCCGTGACAATCCTCCTCCTCCTCCTCCTGCTGCCCTTCAGTGGCAATTCATCGGGACCTTCCATACCAGATTCTCCGCCCTTGCGAGTCGGCGCAGGTCGACGCTAAATCGACGCTAAATCGACGCTAGCTCGGCGCTAGCTCGGCGCTAACTCGGCGCTGCCTCATCCGCTCCTGGACACTAATCGACGCCAAAGACGGAATTGCAAGCTTGTGCCAGGCTCCCACGATTTGCTACCAAAGATCTCGCTGCCCCACATGTGAGCTTTTTCTTATTCGGCGTCTCAATATTGGGCAGAAGGGGGGGGGAAGGGGGGGGTTCTGCCTCGGAACCTATGCTTACTGCGACTGTTTGCAGCAGCGCTTCCTTTAGGAAGGACTCCACCTGCTCGAAAGAAGCCCCCAAAAAAGCCAAGATCTACTCTTATGGAGGGGGGGGGGGGGGCGAGGGCCCGCGCCGTTCGGCAAAACAAAGAATAAGAAAACGATCACCTTCCACGGTGCTTCTCCCACGCGCCCCTTTCCGCCCCCGGCCCGCGCGGAGGCGGCAAGGGGCGCGCGACCGCCGCAGGTCTGGCTTCCTCCCGAATTTATGTTCCTCGGAAATCCTCATCCTCCTCCTCGTCCTCCTCCTTCTCCTCCTCCTCCCTGGGGCTGCGGCACTCGCACCCTGGTGTGCCCTTCGGGGATCTTCTGACCCGGGTCAATCCAACCCCAGGCCAGTCAGGCCGCACAGGATCCTGCAACATACGGCAAGATCCTGCACCCAAGCTCGGGTCAATGCGACCCTGGCCCTGCAGGATCCTGCAAGATCCGGCGCTCTGGCTGACCCCCGTTTGCACGGACCCCCGTCACTTGAGCCCCAAGCCATGTTTGGAGGCGAGCCTCTGGTCCGAACAGGTGTAACCAGCCTCGAACTTATTCCTACCCCCTAAGATTGGCAAGACAACACATGATGACAATCCTGGGGATGCGACCTAGAACATTGAGGGAATCCTGAAGATAGGTATCGAGATGGGGCGACGCCAATCATGGGGATCTGTTCCAGGCTGGTAAATCTGGGCGACGATCAGAAACGGGTCCTACGCGAGATGGCATAGCGACCTTGCGCGGCGGCTTTCGCGTGCCCCCAGCGCGACACAGCGACACCGTTATTTTGCGTCGCTCGCATGGAACTGCCATATTTCATCGTGTACCAAGGCCAGGCTAACGGCGGTGTTGCTTGACGGTGATGTCGGGAACCAAATCGCGGGAGATCACGAACCACACTTTCCTACATGTCCAGTCTGCGAGCGGATCGAGCGCGCGCGACACAACGGATTGCGGGAAAAAGCGAGAGCCACGCGTTCCCGCCATGCCGAAACCTGCACCGCCACGGCCTGCATCGCCGATGGCCTCCAAGATGGCTCTGCACACCTCTCCTGGGGTGCGTTCAGACCAAGATTTCCAAGCGATCCCAACCGTGGCGACGAAGGACACGTAGCGGTATCGGTATCCGTTCCTCCTCTGACGAATCTGGGAGGCAACTCCCGGGAGTTCTTCGTCATCCCGAGCGTTCTGAGAAGGCCCGCCCCTTCTCACTTGCCTCCACCAGGCTCGCCGCCGACGATGCCATCTACTGGGAGGCCTGGTCAGGGGCGAGAAGGAAGGCCCCTCAGGGCGCGAAAAACGTTAGCTCGATGCTGACCACAAGCTGCATCGACGTGCTTTGTTCGTACGGTTATGTTGTTCGAGCACACAGTGAAATATCGCCACAGTGTCTGCCCGATACGCTGGCGAAGTGCCGAACGAGTATCGCCTCCCAAGCCCGGAACGTTTAAAACAACTCCAATTGCAGTACTTCCTTGGTGCTCGAAACTCTTTCTTGTGATCAAGGCTAACGTGGATTGGAACATCATAACCGCCTGCCTCGAGCCACAGCATATCGCCTGCCTATTATCGGCCAGACACACGCAGCGCGGCCACGGCCGCGCGGGGCCTCTCACGAGTGCCTGCGCCCTCGCGGTCTGGTCTGGGCTCCAGGGGGCGCGATGCCCTGGATGCGCGGTCGCACGCGTACGGCAGGTTCGCGTCGCGTGAGCCCCGGCATTGGTTCCTGACGCCGCGGGGATCGTTCAAACTCGAACGATCGCCCAATGCATGCACACCAAATCCTTCAACGACGAGCCGATTCTGGGACACGGGCGGCGTTCAGCCTTACGCGCCCGCGCTGGGGTCGCCGCCGGTGGACACGACGCGCGAACCTGCTGTACGTTGCGCGCGGGGCATCCGCGAACAAACGCCCCGTGCCCGCGGACCCGCGGCCCGGGGGCCCGGCCCGTGATGCCGCGGACCCGGAGGTTGTTTCAAGTCAGGCCTGTCCCTCTGCAGGAGGAATGCAGTGAAGGCCAGTCCACAAGAAACCTTCCGCAAGAAACCCGACCCCGAGATCCCAGGACGTCCATTGATTTTCGGCGTGGGAACGTCGCGTTTTCGACAGCAAGACCATCGAAACCCAAGAAACCCAGGGCAACCTGGAGGCAAGCAGGGTGTTTCTTGGTATGGGCCCCTGCTGGACGTTCCGCGCGGGGCATGCGCGGTCACGGCCCGGGGGCCTGGCCCTTGCTGCCGCGGGTACGGATGTTGTTTCAAGTCGGGCCTGTTCCTCTACAGGAGGAATGGTCAAGAACAGTCAAAGGATAGTCTGGGAACGATGTTTTGAGTTGTTTTTGTGTTATGGCTGTTCTGTATTTGTCGTCCAACACCCGCCTGTGGGAGGACATGCCCGACCTAAATGCTGTTCGCCCACGAGGGTCGCCCGCCACACCGCGGAGAGCTGCCCTTCGCCGGGTGCCCTCGAAAACAAAGTTTTCGCGAGCGATAGGCCACGAGAGCCACAGCACCGCTCCCACGAATCCTACCCGAACGCCGAACCCGAGCCTCAGCGGGAACAAAGGCGGACACGTGGGCTGAAGAACAAGATCCACGGAGCGGCCTCGCACCAAAAAAGGAGTGATTCATAGGAGGCGGCGGGGACGGAGGGACAGAGGCTATGAACAGAGGCAGGGGGGAAAGGAGGAGGGATGGACGGCCACGCCAGGGGACAACGACCACTGCGGCACCGACTGCGACGGCTGCGGCTGCGGCTGCGGCAACAGCTGCGGCTGCGGCTGCGGCGGCGGCCGCGGCGGCGGCGGCGGCGGCGGCGACGACGACGACGACGACCGCGGCGAAGACCGCCTCCGCGCCCAGGGCGCCCCGGCCGCGCGCGCCGACCGACCGATACGCGGAGGCGCATGGGGCCCCGCGCGCCCCACGGGGTCGGAGGGGGAAAAGCCCGCCCAGACTGGAGGCGGCCGCTGGGAGAGCGCAGGAGTCGAGGGAGGAAGGGAGAAGGCGGGGGAGTAGGAGGGCGAGGAGGAGGAGGAGGATGGGCACTGGGGGGAAAAGCCCCGTCCCCTCGGCCTCCACCTATACGCCTCCTCCACTTTCCTCATCCTCCTCCACGGCCTCCGCCTCCGCCTCCTCACCCTCCCCCGCATCAGCCTCCCCTCCTTTGCCTCCACCTTCCCCGCCCTCTGCGTCCTCCCTCTCCTCCCTCCCGGCGGCCCACCCGGCCAGCCGTGGGGGGGGGGCTGGAGAGACTGGGGGGGGAGAGGCCAAAACCTCCAAACGCCACGCATTGAAGGCACAAGACAATTTGCCGCTCGTGGGCCACAT